ATTTCGGCCAGTAGTCCGGGCCTGATACCCTGGTAGGGATCTGGGGCTCTGAGAGGACAACTGTTGGGACCCTCCAGTGGTCCACGTATATTTATCAACAGCATTCGCAAATAAAAACATTCATCATTTCTTGGATGCACAGTATAAATGCGACCTGTGGCCAATCTGGAACTGGGGTTCCTTGTTTTCGACGTTGGAATTTCTTTGATGATTGATTCCAAGTGAAATACTTGGGCATTTCAATGTACATCAGCGTCGCTGCGAATGAATCTGTTTCACACATTTCAAAGAAGCTAGTCAATGTGGTCGATGGTGGTCTCTCAGCTCGTTGTGCCGCATTAGCCTCAGTGAAGTAAACTCTTTGGCCATTTTCCAAATGCACTGCTAAATGTACAACTGTGGGATATCTTTCATGAATTTGAAATGACAATAATCGCCACAGTGCTTCATTAGTACTGACGTATCTGCCCATTTGGAAGTTGCTGATTTCGTCATTCGCATTTTCCGACGCGATACCAAACACAGCCATGTCGCTGCCTTTTGTGACGTACTTGCACAAATATTTGATTGATTTGGCCGAATGACAACTCTCAACATTTGCATGTGTTTCGTGATAGCAGCGGGCAATATGGTACAATAAATTCATTTCCGATTTCAATCTCTTGATTTTGAACTTTAACTATAATAGTTCGACCATTTTCCTCTTTTGAACGCCGACGATAAACTGGATATCCATCGTTCCCTGTGACTGTTGCAGTAACTAACGGTCGCGGATATCGTTTTGTGCATTTTCCATCAGCCATGCAAGGCGATAATGGATTTAATGCACCGCACTGTCCATGCACGATCTGTGTCGTCACAATGTCGTATAGATGGGGATCAGTGACTGGATCAGGAATTTCAGCTGATATTTTGTCATCCACTTCATTTGAATGTAATTAGTTAAGCAACCAAATTAGGATATGAGCATGCGGTAGTCCACGCTTCTGCCATTCCACCGAGTACATATAACAACGTGTGTCACCAAAAACTAGATACTTAGTAAGCACATCCATCATAACCTTGAGTTTTTGGTGAAATACTCTGGCGATTATGTCATGGCGATCCTGCGGTTTTTGGCCCGGTTCCAACTCACGTTCAATTTCCGTCCACTTCGGATTGCATGTAAACGTAATAAATAAATCTGGAGTTCCATAATTTCGCACGTACGTCATAGCGTCTTGAGCGTATTCATGCATGTGGCGTGGGCTTCCGATATAAGATGATGGAAGAATCGTCAGACGTCCAATATTCTGAACATCACCATCTGAATGAATAGCATCACGCAAGTGTATATAGTCCTCAGATCGTAACTTTGCCTGATTGAATCGGATGAACGCTAAACGTTCGGTCTCGACTTTGACATACATGTCGACAGCGAATTGCTGAAACAGCCGACGGCACTTTAGAATGACATTCTCCTCATTTGTACGAATCATCATACGATACGCATAGTAATTCATTGCGCTTATTTTTTTATTCCTTCATACGCCTGAAAATGCACAATTAAATGAATTGTTAATGGAAACCAATAACAATAATTTAAATAATTAGTAGAATATTGTACCTGTAATTGGATCGACCATCTTCAACGTGATGTCGTATCCTTCTTGCCCTTGCCAATAAATGATTGGATATTGTAACGCATCGTACAAACGGTGTGTCTCGTTTACTCGATGCATGATATTGCTTCTTCGCTGAACCACAATGTCTCGCGATTTAGTTGGATCGTCAACAATAATTGCAGCAACATCATTAACGGTGGGTGTATTGAATCTTCGCACATGTTCACCTGCTGGGGTACAATCCTCTCTTATGATAAATTTGTGCGTATCCGATGGCATTCGTTCCAATGCCGATTTGAACATATTAACCACAGCATTATTAGCGTGAAAAAAAGCTTGCAACTGTTCAATAATTCGTCTCTTTAAGTGTCCTGTTCCCTGAATGTTGCAACGCACATTCAGCTGATCCACCATCGACGAAATGAAATATATTTGCAGAAATTGATGCGGTTCCTCTGCTGTTGGCACCAATGAACCATGCAAATGATATATTTGCCCTTGTATCTGTAATTGCAAACAATCATTTGTTGAAGAATCGTGTGATGGTGTAGTCCGTAGAGTATATGTTGTTATTATGTTGCAATTCTTTTTGTTTGTCTAAGTGATGGTAACTTTTACCTTGCAAGTCGGCATGAAGCCGCCTTCTCGAATGATATTAGCTCCAAAGGAAGTCATGCGAAAGCAGTTATTATATTCAAGGATGTGTTGAAGAAAATGGCTGGAATCTGGATCAGTTCCATCGAACAATGCTTTTAGTGGCTGTGGTGGTGTAAGTAATGGATCCAGTTTGACTTTTCCACTTGCGCAGCACAATCCAGCAGTTTCTCTTTTAAACTTTAACGCATTGCAATATCGGCATATAGTCGTCATAGGTCCAATATCTAATTTTCTATCATCTCTGTAGTTCGCAGACGGATCATATTGAAATGCCAAGCGATTGTATGATGCCAATGATCTTCGTGTGCACACGCGTCGTCTTAATCGGTCATATTCTCTTCTTGCATTTCGTCTTTCCTCGCTTAAGTTCTGTGAATACACTTGTTGCTGGATTGCATGCCTTGTGCGGAGACCGATGTTCGCACGTCGTGCTATAGGCATTTTCGACTATAGGCATAGCGGTTAATTTAACCCTAATCCACATAATTTACACAGTTCAACTTACCACCCTAAATACAAATGCTGGTTTCCAATTGCACTGATATGAAACGAATAACTTATTTTACTCCAAATGAAACACAATTTCGATTTGTCATAAAATCAACTAAGTAAAGAATTATGACATGCTATGTGTCAGTGTTGGCGCTTTATGCAAAAATGATTTTCCCGCTTTCTGTTGCAATTTTTCCTGAATTTTCTTTACTGCATAAAATCACAAATTCCGAGACCTTTCCAACGAATGCAAAACCGTGGAAATCGGTTCGTGCGTTCTGGAGTTAATTGATCCCCGCAGAAAACTCGACTTATTTTTATATAATAGATATAGTCGTTCGATCCGGCCCGTTCCGACATATATAGCAGTGAGAGTATATAGAAGACTATATGCAAAGTTTCATTTAGATGGCTTTAAAACTGAGGGACTAGTTTGCGTAGAAACGGACAGGCGGACAGACGGACAGACGGGCATGGCTAGATCGACTCGGCTGCTGATGCTGATCAAGAATATATTTACTTTATAGGGTCGGAAACGTCTCCTTCACTGAGTTGTAAACCTTTGACTGAAATTATAATACCCTGCAAGGGTATAATAAAGGTTCATAAAATAAGAAACAAAATATTTTCATAATATAAAAACAAAACATCAAAATCAATTATTTACTGGTTATTTCACATAAAATAAAAGAAAATATTTATTTAAATAATATGTTTTGGGGTGGCAAGGTTCTTGCGCTGTAAAATTATTAAAATTTTTTTTTGGTAATAATTTAAAAAATTACCGGTATTATAGGTTAAAAACATAAACTTAAAGGATTCTGTATTTATTTATGAAAGAATACTTCGATGAGGAATTCAGAAATTCATAGTAATACGCCGCGAATGGCGGCGGTTTTTTTTGTTTACCCTTTACGGTCGGTGTGACTGACTGTAGTCGTGTTACCAAAATAATCCAAGCAAAATTACACATATAGTGGTCTCTTTCAAGGTTCTAATGAAGTAGCTAATTATTGAAAGCTGCATTAGAGTGTCATACGGCCATTACGAAATCTAAAAACATTTATTTAAAGATAATCATTAAAAATAAAAATTTTATCTTAATTACCCATATGTTCACTTCCTCTTCTTCTTCATAGTGGAGAAATTTATATTGTACAGGGACTTTGTCGATTAATCGATTCTTTCTAAACCAATTCGGTGCAGCGACCAATAAGAAAGAATCAATTTAGTCGATGTTGACATCAATTTTTTTTCCAGCTCTACTGTTCAGACCTTGAATTGAGGCTGCCGTATAAGCTACCAAGCCACTGCTGTATATTCCATGCGGAAGTATTTGCCATCAGGAAAGCAGCAAAGCTTGCGCAGAGCATAAACCGTCCACATGAGGCGGTCAATTTGTTTGTAGACAGTCAAGCGCCGATAAGATCCATGCAATCATCAGCGGTCAGTTCCAAAAATGTACTGACATGCAGGGAGTCAATAGATAGCCTGAGCTCGACAAAGTCAGTGAGGATCTACTGGGTTCCCAGCCACCAAAGCATAGACGGTAACGAGACCGCGGACGGACTTGCAAGGGAAGGCGTCGTTCTGGCGAGTGCAAGAGCAGAAAACGTCCCTGTCTCCCTAAGAACGCTCCAAAACGAGCTGGAGACACGGGCTGACGCAAGCGCAAAAAGCAGGTGGAAGAGTAATTCCGCAACCTGCAGAATATCAAAAATCATGTCCAAAAAGCAAAACGAGAAACTCACCCACTATGTGCTGCATCTTCCGCGGAAGGACTACAGAATGTAAGTGGGTATTCTAATAGGTCACTGTCTGTCCGCTGCACATGCAGTCAAGCTGGCTATTACCGACAACGCCAAATGCCGGAAATGTGATGAATGCGAGGCAACCGAAACCTTGGAGCATCTCATTTGCAAATGTCTGGCCCTAACGAGGGCAAGAGATACCTAGGCTCTAGGAGGAAGCGAACTCCTTGCCTTTCCGAAAAACACCTTGATCTTTAAGGACCTCGAAACCCGCATAAATAGTCTCTAGGTTCATCGTGGAATTTCCCCGGATAGCTAGGGGCCATATTGGCCTATGCGTGGCCCCACGTGGGCCGCCCGGATTAACCTAACCTAACCTAATCAGGTCAAGATAAGCTTGACGAGTTCTTATTATCTCATTTAATTGTACCCGCATGAATGTCGAATTATGTTTTGAAACAATAAAGATAATATTATTTATTTGTTTTTATTATAGTCTGCATTTCACGACGCAAAGGTACCGAATTGGTTTCATAAAGACTGTTTTTTTAAGAAGCAACGCCCAGTCTCAGTGGGGGACATACATAATTTTGAAAATTTACGATTTAATGACCAAAAGGAATTGGAGAATCTTATCGGTATGTGCGATTAATCAAACATAACAGACTATGTCCCAGATATGTATATAATATAATGTATTTTCTTTTAAGGTACAGTAAATGAAGTTGTATGCGTAAAACCAGGAAAGAAACGTTTAAATGTTGATAGCGTAGCATTAAAAGATTTTGGAGTTGAATATGCCAAATCCGGTCGATCTTATTGTCGTGGATGTGAACAAAAAATATGTAAAAATCAAGTTCGTGTACGGAAAACTGTTTATGATACTGAAGTAGGAATGAAATATGGTGGCCAGCCCTTGTGGCATCATTTAGAATGCTTTGCCCAATTGCGTACAGAGCTTGGTTGGTTTGATTCTGGGGAAAATATACCCGGCTTTTCAATTTTAAAATCTGATCACCAAGAGGAAGTGAAAAACCTTATCCCGTAAGTATATTTAAATGCATTAAAATAATAGTATTGCTAGCACATGTAACATTTGTATATATAAGTATTACCAAAACGCGAGAGATAAAGTTTCAATATTCAATAACAGATCGGGTATATTTATTATATGGATTGTTATTATTCATTACAAGAAAATGCAAATTCATTACAAACAAGAAAGGAAGCTAACTTCGGCGCGCCGAAGTTTGTATACCCTTGCAGATTGGTTTTGATGTTTATATTATAGATTTAAATGCTGAAAAGACTCACAAAACAGTGTTTCATTACATTTTACCTATACTTATTATGTTTACAGTTTGACAGTTACAGTTTTACATTCCCAGCTTTACATATTTTATACATTTACCGATCGCTTCTATGGCAGCTATAAGATACATATAGTTGTCCGATTTTTATGAAATTTATACCAAAATTTTAGAATAATAAAAAAAGCTTATATCTCAGAGTAGTCAAACATACGTTGAAAAACAACGAAGCAATAATTTTTTTCTTATTAATTTCCCGATCGTTCCTATGGCAGCTATATCATATAGTCGTCCGATTTTCATAAAATTTTTACCAAAATTCTGAAATAATATAAAATGGCCATATCATATATATGCAAAAATGTTGAAAAACAGCAAAGTTATAATTATTTTTCTAAAAATTTATCGAACATTTGTATGGCAGCTATATGATATAGTCGTCCGATCCGGCCCGTTCCGACATATATAGCAGTGAGAGTATATAGAAGACTATATGCAAAGTTTCATTCGGATAGCTTTAAAACTGAGGGACTAGTTTGCGTAGAAACGGACAGACGGACAGACGGACATGGCTAGATCGACTCGGCTGTTGATGCTGATCAAGAATATATAAACTTTATAGGGTCGGAAACGTCTCCTTCACTGCGTTGCAAACTTCTGACTGAAATTATAATACCCTGCAAGGGTATAAAAAGTAAATGAATATGTAGGGTTACCGTTAAAATTTCGGAATTAGTTAGAATTATATGGTGAAATTCACTACGATAGTAGATGGCAAATATTCTAGTCCACACTGCGCAGCGGTTCGTCTTCGTATGCCGGGACGACAACAAAGATATCACCTTAAAAATGCAAGAAATACGATTCTGGGCTCTTTTAAGGTGCTGTAAATTTACACGATTTATTTTACAAATGATCATTACTTTATTAAAAATTACTGTTTTTGCATTCAGTTTTTAAAATAAAAAAAATATATATATATTGGGTTTACAACTTTGCTTCCGCCGTTTTCCGATATGTGGCTGTACCGGCTGAGGCTGGTCGATATACATAGATGAGAATATGTACATCTAAAGTGAGTGTGAACAGTGCCTAACAAATTGTCATCGCCGTTTCAGTGACAGTTGTTATTGTTTTCGTATTATTAACGCTCGAAAATGTCCGATTATGTGGTCAATTCTTCCCATATGCGGGAAGTTTTACTTTTTTGTTACAATTACAAAAAAATGCAGATGAAGCGGATCGAATGCTGTCTGAAGCTTACGGTGATGCTGCTTTGAGTGAAAGAACGTGTCGGAAGTGGTTTCAACGTTTTAAAAATGGCGATTTCGATGTTGAAGACAAACATGTTGGTGGTAGAGAATGAAGCTTCAAAGATGAACAACTAGAAGCATTGCTTAATGAAGATTCCTGCCAAACTCAAGAGCTTGCCGAATCTTTGGGAGCCATTTCAAAACGTCTCAAGGCCCTAGTCATGATTCATGACATGACAAAGTCATCCACCAACACAACAATGCTCGGCCTCATGTCGCAAATGTGGTACATGGAAATACCAGATATCGCCGCTTCTGACTTCCACCTATTTGGTTCGATGACACACGGCCTAGCAGATCAACATTTTCAATCCTTCGAAGAATTAAAAAAATGGATTGCTTCGTGGATTGCGTCAAAACAGGACTCCTTTTTTCGAGCCGGGATCCGAAAATTGCCGGAAAGATGGGAGAACGTTGTCACTAGCGACAGAAAATACTTTCAAAAATACATCTGTAAGCAGTTTTTCGCAATAAAGCTTCTAATTTTTGGAAAAAAACGGCAGAAGAAAAGTTGTACACCATATAGATCTATGGAGATATCGTGTTTTAAATGTACATCGATATTATTGAATATATATATTGTCAAATTCAAACCTCACTGAAAAAAATGGAAAATTCTAATATACAGTAAAATTCTCGTGTTGCGGTGTTTGGGGTTAAACTCCTGCTTTACCGATTCTCTTGAAATTTTGTGTGCATATTGGGAGGTCTGAGAATCGAACATATATTTTTCATCCCCCTAAATGTTAAATCCACCATTCGCGAGCTACAATTTATGGTCGACACGTATGTGAATATAGAGAGTGAACGACTACGATATTGGCGATATAATCTGGCACTGCCGAAATTGGTAACTCTGTTATCTTACCACATGCAAGAATATAAACAAGATGCTATGACTTTCGTGCGTGTATCTTCATGACATTACAGCACGTGTCTTTAAACAAATATTAAAGTTTTTAAACAGCTGTATTACGAAAATTCATGTATTTGGTCCCACACGTTGTTGGATGTATTCGGTTGAGTGGCAAAAGCGTGAAAAACCTCATGGTCTCATTAACACTATCAGTAACGCAGACATCGACTTTGACAATCGTTGGGTGGTAACAGTTACTTCTGCTCAGCAAAACATTCAACGCTCATATTATTGTTGAGTCATACAGTTCGATGAAGAGTATCAAATATATTAGTAACGAGAAAGGAAGCTAACTTCGGCACACCGAACATTTGCGGATTTCCCTTTAACATAAGCGAATTTCCCTTGGTGATTTAAGGAAATTTTTTTTAATTTCCCTTAAATTCCCAAACAAAATCAGCTGGTCGCTTTCTACAAAAGAGTTTTGCCTTGTCTAAGAATTGCTAAAAGGGGGCTGTAGTCTCCAACTCATAGATAGTAATGAAGCAATAATTTAAGTAATAAAATCTAAGGAATAAGCATGAGTTTCATTACATTTTATATATACTTATTATGTTTACAGTTTGAAAGTTACAGTTATACATTCCCAGCTTTACATTTTCTCTACATTTACCGATCGCTTCTATGGCAGCTATATGATATAGTTGTCCGATTTTTAAAAAATGTATACCAAAATTCTGAAATAATAACAAAAGCTCATATCTCAGAGTTATAATTTTTTTCCTATTAATTTCCCGATCGTTCCTATGGCAGCTATATGGGATATGGGCTTTAGATGAATGGCCTTAGTGCAGAAGCACACGAACACCAAGCTCGACCCGTGTAATTCTTTACGTCGAAGGGACCCGCATAGTCCACACCAGTAAATGTGAAGGGGCGCGAAAAAGCTGTCCGTTCTTGCGGTAAACATGATCAGCATCAACAGCCGAGTCGATCTAGCCATGTCCGTCTGTCTGTCCGTCCGTCCGTCTGTCCGTTTCTACGCAAACTACTCCTTCAGTTTTAAAGTTATCTGAATGAAACTTTGCATATAGTCTTCTATATACTCTCACTGCTATATATGTCGGAACGGGCCGGATCGGACGACTATATCATATAGCTGCCATACAAATGTTCGATAAATATTTATGTAGGGTTATAACTTTACTGAGTTCCCACAAATGTTTATTTATTATTATTAACTGGATTTCTTAACGATTAAACAATTTACATATATGTCGCGCTTTTTTACTTCAAACTTGTTCACTTCACAACCGCTCAGCTCCTCTCTCTCTGGTCTAGTGTGGCCGCATCTCATAAAGCATGCCATCCCGAATCTTAATACTAATCTTACATTAATGGCTTACTTAAATACTAACAAACTTTAAGGATATACTTAAATACAAATATACCAATCCTACATTCGGCCATCCTGAATCTTAGTTCGACCCGAACTAAATCCATTTTTTCATAAACTCTGCTGCTGTAAACGTGCGATTGGGACCTTCTTGGCAACCCACTTTTTCTACCTCGTAACGTCCATGGTCTTTCTTTGGAACTATCCTATAAGGTCCAAAAAATTTTGGTCGTAATTTCATTTTTGCTCCATACTGAGTTCTTTTAATTGCTACTAAACCCCCTATTTCATATTCCATTTCTATTTTCCTCTTTTCATTGAAGCTCTTCCTATTTTCTTGCTGTATTTTCTCAATATTTTCTTGTGCCTTTCGCCTGATCTCTTCACGTTCTTCTGATAAAGCCTTCAAATCTATTTCTTGTAAAAGTTCTCTAATTTCGTCAGTTTTTGTTTTCATTTGTAAACCTGTTAGCACTGAGAATGGTGTGAACTTCGTACTTCGAGGGGGTGTGTTGTTTATAATCTGCTGTATCCGATCTACATGTGCATACCACTTGGTCGAATTGTCCTGGCAGAGTTTGTTCAGCATTGGAATAACAATTTTGTGGACTCTCTCAACCTGGCCGTTACCTCTTGGCATACCTGTAGTAATGTGCAATAACTGTATTCCTTCTTCCTCACAGTAGTCTCGAAATAAACTCGAAGTAAACGCTGTTCCTCTATCTGTTACAATTCTTCGCGGATTACCGAATATTGCTGCCTGCTTTTTGAGTTTGTCTAAAACTTCTTCTGTCCCTGTAGATTTAGTGGGGTATAACCATACAAACTTCGAAAACCCATCAACTACGACAAATATGTGGTTGTACATCTTTTTGGTTTCTGTTAGAGGTCCTACGTGATCCACGTGATATGTTCCTAACGGTTCTTGTGCTTTATCAATCGGACATAAAAATCCCTCTTTCTTTCCTCGCTTAGCTTCAGCGATCAGACATTCTACACAATTTCGAACTATTTTCTCAACTTTCGATTGTATATTGTTTACAGAATAATTTCTTTCTACCAACTCACTCGTTTTCTTGCTACCAATGCTTTGATTCTGTCATCTTTGTCCTGCGCTTCCTTTAAACGATAGCCTAATGCTTCGACTAACAGACAGCATGACACTCGAC